CCAGAAATGTTGAGGCCATACCCTCCCAATTGCGCCAAGGACTTGACGTTGCGCATGATTGTATTGTTGGTCGATGGGCCCGGCATGATGTTGCATGTGTTGAATCCAAGAGCAAAGGGGAGACCATCCGAGTTGAGGGCCCAATTGATGTTCAAGTTCTCCAACAGCGTGTCTGTGCCTTGAATCAGAAGCACGGTGGAGAGGCCAAAAAGGACGCTCTTCCGGACTGTTGTATTGACCGCTTCCTCCTGAACGAAGATACAAAAATAGGCATTAGCGTACACGCGGTTCGGTTGCTCCAACCGATGGCAAGTGATTTGGTCCATGAGAACGTGGCTGACAGCCGTCATGATACCCCCGCCAGAATTGGTGGACGTCACAATATTGCGCAGCACAACGTTGGTAGCTTGCGTCGCATAAATGCTGGCATAGGTTGCGTGGAGACGTGTGGTAAAGTTTTCAACAAGTAAGTCGTTGCCGCAAACGATGGCCATTGACGAGAAGTAGCCCATTGCAAAGCTCGCTCTGCTGGAGCAAGATGCAAACGCCAATGATGTCATTACCCTGGGTGGAAATCCCTTCGATGTTTGAGTCCCCTCCGCCGAGTGAAAAGCCATGCCAGGAACAATGGTGAGCTTCATTTTGGGACATCAAGTTGTGCCAGCCCCTGACCCGGATGCCGATGTAGCTGCTTCTGGTGGCAACGATGCGAGACAGGGTACTGTGGCTAGCAGAAACGAAGAGACCGCTCGCCACCTTGTTCCAACTCCATAATCAAGCAATCGATGGTGGTGCCATTTCCATAAACGGAAAGGGCTGCGGTGGTGGTGACCGGGGATAGGGGGGTCAGGCCATCAGAGTGTGGTGCATGCTCCGTTGGCTCATTGGCCAGAGAGGGTAATGTTGGCGCGAGTCAGGTTGGCAAGGCCCTGAAAGACGGTGACGCTGTCCACGGCAAAGCTAATGGTGGGTGGCTGGGCAGAGTTTTCTGCCTGTGCGAGTGCCCAAGATAAGGTGCCCTCAACAGTATTGATGCCTGTTGGCATCACGGGAAAAACCGATCGAGGTCAGCCACCAAGTGTAGAGACGCGGCAAAGCGGCTCGAGGAAAAACAAAAAAAAAAAAAGCATGAGGCACACGAGGGGACAAATTATTTTTGTGCAGTGGTCGCGTCACCAGAACAGGTCTCAAGCGGGTGCGTACCATGGTCTTCGGGTGGGGTGACGA